AGGGAGGGACTGGCCTCCAATGCCCTCACCACAGGCCTCAGCTAATCTGCAGGACTCTCTGAAACTGGGATGGCTGCCCAGCACTCTCCCCGCATGGAGTGAGGGGGTGGGGCCTTTGTACCCTGCGTCAGCTCTCTGTTGCAGAGCTGGGACTTGCTCACCAGGAGGGAGGCATGACTTCAGTCAGGGAGTCTGGCCCTTCACTGAGCTGTGGGCTGGGCGTCTCAGTCCTCCTTCACAGCATTTTTGTAGCAGAAAAGACCCAGGAGAGGACATTCCACACACAGGTGCTTACCAGGCTCCTGTGTGCACTGAAGGTATTCTTATCTTACTGAGCAAAACAAACATGGGAGAGAACTGTACAAGGGCATGGATAGTGGGAGGGATGATCCATTGGGGCCTTTTTTTAAAAATCTGTCACTGCCTGGTTTTGAGCAATTATTCATATCCTCTCCAAATGCAAAATGTACTTACCCCTCCTGAGACTCTTATAGTCTCATCCAGGCACAACATGAGGCCCAGAGGCCATCCTCTACATCAGGTCTGCATAGAGATGGGGGCTTCGGAGGCACAGGTCCTCTTGATCCAAAGATCTGGGGGCAAAAACATGTCATCTCTCACCATACACTTAATGTCCTGTGGTAAGATAAGAATAGGATAACTGTAATATGTACTCCATTCAAAAGGGGAGGATGGAGGCACTTAGCAGCCACCGGTCCTTAGTAGTTCTGAAATTCAGCAAAGCACCAGTGGTCAGTGCCCCCTCATGTGGGTAAAGGGAATGTTCCTTGATTAGGACCCTGCTCTGGTCCCTGGGATTGGTCCCCCAATTCTTTGGTCTCTGTGGCTCTTGGCGCTGCCTTCTGAGATCACCTTCCTTTCACAGAAAAAATAGCCTACTTTTGCTGATTAGCTTTCTTAGCCTACTTTCTGCCCAGAAAAACCTGGGGCCCAGAGGCCTTTTTTTTCATTTTGGACCGTGTCTGTTACTGTGACCCAATCTGGCAGCATTTCTGCTAGTACAACTCTCTTAAATCGTTGGCAGGTTTTCTATAAATCGCTTTTTAGGGTTTCGAGTTTCCTTCATGCCCCAGAAACTACATCCGTAAATCTTTTCAAGTCAGACCCCTTTTAGGAAGGGCTGCATGGAACAGAGCCCTAAAGATTTTAGAAACCTTTTTCTGCCTGAGAGAGAAGGTGTGCTATGCTAGGCACCACTTAAATCTTAATAAGATGTTTCTAAAGGGTATTACAGCCACACTCTCATTCCTTACTTCACGAACCTTTTGCCACCAAAAGAAGCTGGAGACATGAAATAATTTTATTCTCCAGTCCATCATGTCCTGGTTCTTCTGTATTTCTCCTAAATTCTGGTTGCAAATGCTGAGAAGTTCTCTCCTCAGCTCCTCTTTCTCTTCTGTACCTTACTATTCCCAATTAAAATAGGATGATTAGCACTTTCAGCCTCCTGCCTAGAAACCTCCTTAGCCATACGTACACAATTATTCAGTATACTTTCTATATCTCCCAAGTCAGTGTAGAAGCCAGTTCTCCCAGCTATTTCATGACTATAAAATATGCCTTGCACTTTGGCCTCTCATAAAAATTCCTTACTGACTTTCTAGCCCAATGGTTCACTATCTCTGTCCCATCAGCAACTGGTTTTCTAAATGTTGTTTGCTGCCTAGTCCAAAAGACACTGTTACATGTTTTAGCTTTTATGACAGCAGCACCCAATTTTAGGTACCAATTTTTATATCAGTCAAAGTTCAAAGTCCCACAAATACTGTCTGTACATGAATGTTCATAGGAGCATTCATAATAACCAAACCTGGGTGAAAACAATCCAAGTGTCCAACAATGATGAATAGATAAAATGTGGCATAGCCACACAGTGGGATGCTACTCAGCTATGAAAGGGGATGAAGTCATTTAAAAAAAGGAATGAAGCTGTGTGAACCGTGGATGAACCTTGAAACATTTTATGCTCAGTGAAAGAAGCTAGGCCTGTAGTATATGAGTGTACTTGTTGTGAAATGTCCAGAATAGGCAAATCCATGGAGACAGAAAGATTAGTAGTGGTTGCAAGGGGCTGGGGGTGTAGAGAAAATGAAGAATGACTACTAATGGGCATAGGGTTTCTGGAAATAGAGATTGGTGATGATTTTACAATTTTGTGAATGAAGTATACATTTTTAAAGGTTGAATTTTATATGTGAATTATATCTGAGTTTTTTTAAAAGTTCAGTCAGAGAAATAGTCACTGTGAGTGCTATGGGAGAAGGGATACAAGAATTAGAATTACACAGTAGCAGAAGAGCTATGGAGCTAAGGTGCAGAAGGGGAATCGGGGTCTGAGAAAGGATCACCAACCAGTGAATGAGTGAGTGGCCAAGTGGGTCCAGAAACCACCAGAGGGGGGCTTTATGGCAAAGTCTGTGAGAAGCAGTTGCCTCCTCTGGATCCACAGCCAAGCCCCATAATGCATCTGGGTCACTGTGGTCAGTCAGGAGGAGCCAGCATGCAGCAGAAGTGAAGACAGGCTGGCCCCACAGCATTTCACATCAGTCCTGTATCTGATGACCAGAAAAAGGCCTACAGAGAATGCAGACTGCTGCTTCATGTCTGCATTCCCCATGTCCTAGAAGTTCCTTTTGGCCAGCAGTAGATATAAACCATACAGGGAAGGGGATTCTAGGAAACATGGTTCCTAGCTTAACCAAACTGATATGACACAAATGTTTGCATCAGTTAAGAATGGAGAGGTCTGTGTAGTTTAAGCGAATGATGGCAAGCTCCTCTGAACATTTGGCAGAGGAGACTGACTGATTGCTAGAAATGCACAATCTAGTAGGTGATGCAACAAATTTGATCAAGGACAGAAAGACTAGTGATTCCTTCACAGCTATTTCAGTGCTTTTGGTTTGGGAAGCATAGTACTGCTATAAATAATGACATGAAAATTGGGCATTCAGAATGGAACCACCTACATACAAATAGCATTTGAATAAACCATGAGATGTGGAAAAGTCAATCGTAAGAAACTTAGGTAGTTAAAAGAGCTTGATGATTAAAAATATTTTGTAGAATAAGCCTTTCAAGACCCATATATTTAAAATTTCTGTTTATGATGTTCTGCAATTTGAGAAAAGTCAGAAAAAGTACTTAATGAACTTCAAATAATTTGTATATATTTTGTACTTAGGAGAATGAATTTGCACAAGCCAGCAACTATGCAGATTTAGCTGTGAACTCAGATAGATACAACCCATCAGCTCTTACTAATAAAGGAAATACAGTTTTTGCAAATGGTGATTATGAGAAGGCATCTGAATTCTATAAAGAGGCTCTAAGAAATGACTCTTCTTGTACTGAAGCACTTTATAATATTGGTAAGTAAAACAAGCAAAATTGCTCTTTTGTGGGGTTTTGGCTTTACACTTTTTTTCCTTTTTTATTTTATTTATTTTTTGCTTAAAAGCTCCAATTCTTAAGAAGAGGAGTTGACTTCCTTACACCAAAAAGTTGAAAAGAAAACTCTTGGATTATAGGTTATTTTAAATGTAATTAATGATTCCAAAGTTATGCACATGTAAATTTGGATAGATATTGCCATATTACCCTCTCAAAAAACTTTTCCAATTTCTATTTACACTATAGTATATGAGACTGATTTCCCAAATTCCTGATAATGCTGGGTATTATGTCAACTTTTGCTGAACTAATAGGTTGAAAAAAGCTCATTTTCTTCCTTTTTTATTTTATTTATTTGTTTGTTTGTTTTAAGATGGGTTTTTAATGACATGTTATTTTTCCAGCTCTATCAGAGGATTTTTTTATACTTTTTTTTTGTTATCATTAATCTACAATTACATGAAGTTCCTTTTTTATTTTGAACAATTTCAAACAAAAAAGATGAATACTCATGTACCTATCACTTATATTGAACACATTTTAACATTTTGTCATATTTAAGTCAAATTTTGTTTTTAATAAACAAAACGTTACAAGACCTGAAGGCTCACCGCCGTCTCATTCCCTTCCCTGCCTGTCAGAGGTCGCTTGAAGTGGGTGTCGGTCCTTCCTGTTCATGGGTGTGCAATGTTGGACATTCATCTTGATACAATACTGTGTCTTATTTCTTGGGTTTTTAATGATGTTTCTTTTGGTTTTTCTTCTCCTTACATAGATGTGTTTTGCTTATTTGGATTTGCTTGTTTGTTTTATCCTCCATTTTTCATCTTACAACCTTTCCTCAGATGTCTCATGATCCAGGCCTACACCTCATATTTAGGAGTTTGCAGCTAAAAGCTGAGCGGGCCTTCTCTGGCCACAGGAGAGACTGATGGACTAGCTGCCTGCCACATGCCATCTGTCTGGGCTGTGTAGTGGGGCTCTGCTCAGCAGTCACTGGATCTTTCCTTTGGAGAAGACTTTAATCCCCTACCAGAAGGAGAAGGGAAGACCTGGCTGGGTTGGGAGGATAGGAGGCAGGGAAGAATTAGTAATTTTAGATGGAGTCAAGGAGAGCCTCACTGAGAAGGTGACATGTTGTCATATTGAAAGGAAAGGAGGATATGACTGTTTGGGTCTCTAGAAAAAGAGCATTATTGGCAGAAGAGAGTGAATAGCAAAGACCTTAATGCAGAAGATTGCCTACATATATATTTATTTATTCTCTTTATAAATTTTAAATAATTTTCCTAGTCCATTGCTTGACTTTTAACTTTACTTAGAATTTCTTTTGTCAGATTTTTTCTATTTTTTTATATAGTCAGATTTGGCTTTTTGAAAATTGGTGACTTCATTTATTTCTTGATTTATGAAGCCCTTCTTTACCCCAAGATTATAAAATCACTTTCCTATTTCATACTTTTACAGCTTTGTTTTTCTTAGTTTTAAAATATTGAATGCCTTGTTCATTTTTTTTTAACTTTCAATAGTACTTTTATTCATAGCACAAAGTGGAAATAATATATATATATTTTTTTGAGAGGGCATCTCTCATATTTATTGATCAAATGGTTGTTAACAACAATAAAATTCTGTGTATGGGACTCAATGCACAATCATTAATCAACACCAAGCCTAACTCTCAACAGTCTTCAATCTTCTGAAGCATAACGAACAAGTTCTTACATAGTGAATAAGTTCTTACATGGTGAACAATGCAAGGGCAGTCATATCACAGAAACTTTCGGTTTTGATCACGCATCATGAACTATAAACA